TCTCTCCTCCCCTCATCTCATCTCTCCCCTCTCCTCTCCCCCCTCTGATCCTATCTCTGACGCCTGGTGTGTTTGTCTCCGTCTCACTCCACACGTGCAGGTTGGTACATACAGCTCTGTGTTTGGGTTTGTTCTGCAGAGACCAGGCTTTTCTTTTGAGGGAAAAAACTCTTTTATCGACTGCTCTCTGTGGCGTGGCTGTAAATGTGTTTGTTTTCATACAAAATAAAATAAAGTTAAGTTTAAAGAATGAATTTATTTAAGAGCTAAAGTGACTGACACAGGGTTATACCACAGACAGTGAAGACACGGATCCAGAGCGTCACCAGACGTTCCACTGTGCCATTCTACACTTTAAAAAATATAGATTGATTGATATTGATTGATCTTTCTGGTCTCCCACTGGCTTACCCTCTCTCTGGTCCCTCTCTCTGGTCCCTCTCTCTGGTCCCTCTCTATTGTCTCTCTCTCTCTCTTTGGTCTCACCCTGATCTCTCTCTGATCTTTCACTTTCCCTTTGGTTTCTCTGTCGACTCTCTCTCTCTTGTCTTCCTGGTCTTTATCTTGCCTCTCTGGTTACTCTGGTCTTTCTCCAGTATCTCTGGTCTTTCGCTTGTCTCTCTGGTCTCTATCTGGTCTATCTTGTCTCTCTGGTCTCTCTCTGGTCTTTTTACATTTTCGCTTGTCTCTCTGGTCTCTCTCTGGTCTCTCTCTGGTCTCTCTCTCTGGTCTCTCTCTCTGGTCTCTCTCTCTGGTCTCTCTCTCTGGTCTCTCTCTCTGGTCTCTCTCTGGTCTCTCTCTGGTCTCTCTCTCTGATCTCTCTCTGGTCTCTCTCTGATCTCTCTCTGGTCTCCCTCTGGTCTCTCTCTGGTCTCTCTCTGGTCTCTCTCTGGTCTCTCTCTGGTCTCTCTCTCTGGTCTCTCTCTCTGGTCTCTCTCTCTGGTCTCTCTCTCTGGTCTCTCTCTCTGGTCTCTCTCTCTGGTCTCTCTCTGGTCTCTCTCTGGTCTCTCTCTCTGATCTCTCTCTGGTCTCTCTCTGATCTCTCTCTGGTCTCCCTCTGGTCTCTCTCTGGTCTCTCTCTGGTCTCTCTCTCTGGTCCCTCTCTGGTCTCTCTCTGGTCTCTCTCTGGTCTCTCTCTCTCTCTCTGGTCTCTCTGGTCTCTCTGATCTCTCTCTGGTCTCTCTATCTCTCTCTGGTCTCTCTCTCTGATCTCTCTCTGGTCTCTCTCTCTGGTCTCTCTCTCTCTCTGGTCTCTCTCTCTGGTCTCTCTCTCTGGTCTCTCTCTGGTCTCTCTCTGGTCTCTCTCTGGTCTCTCTCTGGTCTCTCTCTGGTCTCTCTCTCGTCTCTCTCTCTGGTCTCTCTCTGGTCTCTCTCTGGTCTCTCTCTGGTCTCTCTCTGGTCTCTCTCTGGTCTCTCTCTCGTCTCTCTCTGGTCTCTCTCTGGTCTCTCTTCAGAGTGATTCTGACTGTTTAAATTATTTTTCTGCACTTTTTGAAGTGTGAGTGTTTCTGTTATTTTCAGAATGATATTTACAATAGGTTATTGTTTTTGCTCGAGTGATGTCAAATTCTGCACTTTGAGCCTTAATTTCACCCCCTGAACATGCATGAAAAGTTGTAAAATTTTGCCCAAACATCAGACCTGGTGAAAAATTTGACATTTTGGTGTTTATTTTTATGGGACTCAAAAAATGCCAGAACAGCGCCACCTACAACAGCCAATGGGAGTTTCAGAGGTCAAGTTTGTCGTAGAGCCATGAAATTCGGTACACATGTTCCTCAAGTCAAGATACGACCGAAATGTTATCATGGCTCCGCCCTCTGACAAACAGGAGGCCCATAAATTTCACTGCAAAATGGAAAAATGATCCGCAATCATTTTCATACATGTCGGTTGGAAAGCGACTCCTTCTCGGCCGTTTCACCGATTGGCCTCAAAATTGTTCCAAATCAACACATGTACCTTCAAAATGACTTCAGGGAAATTTGATCAGTGAAACATTGTTTGAGCAGCGGAGCGGCAAAATGTGAGGGTTTTTTTTGACGTTTTTGACAACATTAATTTTTTTCCCGTTTGCACAAAGTCTGATTTGAATTAAACATGAATCCATTGTTCAACTCCAGGGTTTAGGTCAGGTGAAAGTGAAATATTTGAAATTGGCCTATTAGCGCCCCCTACAGACTGAGTCAACGTTTACAGGGGGAGCCAAACCAGCTCTACTTATCATATTCATTACAATTTGACTAACAATCTTCTATGGCTACGGGAACAAATCATCACACGGCGGCGCCACCTCCTTTGCGCGGTGCTGCGTGGTACGGTGTTGTGCGGCGTAGTGCGGGGCGTTGTGGAGCGGCGCGTTGCAGCTTGATGCACATCATCTCAACACATTTTTGATCAGTGAAACATTGTTCGAGTAGCGGAGCGGCAAAATGTGAGTTTATTTTTGGCCGTTTTTGACCCTATTAAATTTGCTCCCGTTTGCACAAACAAAGTCTGCACAAAACTTTAATACATTGTTCACCTCTATGGTCTAGGTCATTTGAAAGTGAAATAAATGAACTTGGCTCATTAGCGCCCCCTACAGATGGGGTCCAAGTTTTTAGTATGGGAGCGTTTCAAGGTCAAGTTTGTTGCCTAGGCTTGAAATTTGGTACACATGCTCCTCATCTCAAGACATGAAATAAAAGTTATTATGGCCCCGCCCCCAGACAAACAGGAAGCCCATAAATTTCACTTCAAAATGGACAAATGAAACATGATCCTTTTCACACGTGTCGGTTGGAAAGCGACTCCTCCTCGGCCGTTTCACCGATTTACCTCAAAATCGCTCCACATCGTCTAAACACATGAACCATAATTTTGATTTCAGCCAATTTTGATCAGTGAAACGTTGTTTGAGCAGCGGAGCGGAATGGAATGGAGGGGAGGGAGGGAGCAAGATGGATAGGTAGAGGGAGGCGGGGGTGAGGGATCCTTGCTGGAGACTGAAATAGTGTGAGTTGTTGTAGATTGTGGGACCTTGTTTATGGCCTTGGTCAAGGAATGTGAGATAAGAGTGGGGAGAAGACACAGCAGGAGAAACACAAATCGCCTGAGAGGGACAATATTATATGCAATGTAGCATCAAAAGCAGGCAGATATTCTATTAATTCCAATTAAACCGAATTACGGCGCCCTCAGACCCCGTACACAGGGGCAAATCCAAGCCGGGTCAGAGAGTTCAAGCCTGACAAACAATGTCATTCAATCTCAATTCCAGAGTTTTATGCCCATCGAGTGAACGAACTGCGAGATCTTTGATCAACTGTTCCACCAAAACCACTCTCCGTTGTCCAGACACGGCACTCACAACCACGACTCGGTTAAGCTCCTTGTACATCCCATCAATTTTGTCGGCCAGCAGGTCGTGAATCTTGCGAACTGCCATGCCTCCGAATTTGTGGTAGAACAGGATCGCTCCAAACCCAAACAGGAGGATTCCCACCACCAAAATGCCAAAGATATATACGTCTTCCGAATCTTCAATGGACAGGGTCGACAGACAGAGGGGCTGAAACTTGTTCCAGCTGTCAAGAGTATACCCCGCTGGTGAAGTCCCGTCCGGGCACTCGGGCTCTCCAGACCCACGCTTACGTGTTGAAAAGATAGAATCAATTGCGTTGAGGGACCAATTAATCATTTCCATTCTGTTAAAGTTGTCTGTGGCAAAACTCCAGGAAAAAAGACAAAAACAGGAGATAGCAAGCCGTTCAGAAGCAGGAGCGGACTAAGACACGTCTTTGCTCGACGGAGGAGGAAGTGAAGAGGGTGTTTTTGGCCGTTTTTGGGTGTTTTTGGCCGTTTTTGACAACATTAATTTTTTTCCCGTTTGCACAAAGCCAAACCAGCTCTACTTATCATATTCATTACAATTTGACTAACAATCTTCTATGGCTACGGGAACAAATCATCACACGACGGCGCCGCCTCCTTTGAGCGGTGCTGCGTGGTACGGTGTGGTGCACCGTAGTGCGGGGCTTTGTGGAGCGGCGCATTGCGGCTTGGTGCGGGGCGGCGTGATGCGGGGCGGCGTGATGCGGGACGGCGTGGTGTGGGGTGGCCTGGCACGGGGTGGTGCGCGCGGTGCGGGGGGTGCACGCGGTGCGGGGGGTCGTGCGGGGAGTTGCGCGGTGCGGCGAGGGCTGTTTGACGCCGCTTGCGGCTTTAATTCCCATTTCTTTCCGCTCTGATCAAAGAAATACTGCATTGGTTTTTATCACACACTATGGATTCTCAAAGATGCTTTTTATACTACCACCAGTACCTATGAGTACCAGTACCTATGTCTTATACTACCACCAGTACCTATGAGTACCAGTACCTATGTCTTATACTACCACCAGTACCTATGAGTACCAGTACCTATGTCTTATACTACCACCAGTACCTATGAGTACCAGTACCTATGTCTTATACTACCACCAGTACCTATGAGTACCAGTACCTATGTCTTATACTACCACCAGTACCTATGAGTACCAGTACCTATGTCTTATACTACCACCAGTACCTATGTCTTATACCAGTACCTATGTCGTCAGTGTGTGTTCTCTGTGTGTGTCTTATGTGTGTCCTTTGTGTGTGTCCTCTGTGTGTGTCCTATGTGTGTGTCCTCTGTGTGTGTGTCCTTTGTGTGTGTTGTTGTATATTTTAAATATAGACTAAAGGCAGATGTGAATTTGATTGACCCGGAATTGAACTCTTGTCTCTTTCCCAAGCAAAAAGACCTGTGCCCTCAGGGATTAAGTCACAAGGACACAGGATAAGCAGACGGGAATTATAAAAAGATATCGTCTTTGAACAAGGCGAATTATTAACGTTCGATAATAAACATTATCTGCTGACAGAGCAAAAGTCCCTCACCATCAGGCGGAGAGGGAATTCACCAACAGCATTCTAACGCCTCCCAGTGGACAAGGGACGTCAGCACACCCGGAAAGCCCCACCTTTGGACGCGTATGGATGACGTCATCGGAAGTCTCCAGTATATGTGCCCTCGGAGGGTTTTGAGGTCAGACAGGACAGGGGCAACGCACAGGGATAGAGCAGGCATAGAATAGGAGCTCTTTTGTTTGAATATTCTGTATCTGATTGTAAAGATAATTAAATGCAGATGTTAAACGTGAAGATCTCTTGTCTCGCTCTTGCATCGACTTTGGATACGTCAGTTCCGCTCCGACTCCCCGCATCCGCTCGCCCCCCTGCCACCGCGCTCCGCTACGTACTCCCCGCACTGCGCACCGCTACCACTCCCGCTCCGCTACCGAAACTACCCGCCCCGCGTCGCCGCTACGACTCCCCGCCCAGCGCACGCTAACGGACTCCCCGCAGCCCGCTACGGACTCCGCTACCGCGCGCCGCTACGACTTCCCCCGCTCCGCTACGACTCCCTGCGCCGCGCGCTTTGCCGACTCTCCTGCTAACCGCTACGACTCTCCGCAGCCGCCCGTCCGACTCCCGCTCGCGAGCACTACGGACTCCCCGCACCGCGCGCGTTCTACGACTGCTCCCCGCTCCGGCTCCGACTCCCGCAGCCGCGACGACTCGCCGCAACTCGCCGCAAACTCGCCCGCAACCCCGCAATTTCCCCCTCCCCGTTGACTCCCCGCGTGACTCCGCCGCTCCGCTGGATGGCGCCGCGCCTGCGCCCGCCATGATTGCTAACCATAGCCATCGACCACTTGTATGTGCTATTGATCCGTTGGTTTGGCTCCCGCATGTACAGCTTTCGCTCGGTCTGTACGGGGGCGCTAAACGCAAAAAAGAGCCAATGAAATCTTTTTACACCTTCAGGTGACCCAGGCCCAGGAGTAGAACAACCGGGTCAAGTTATTAGTACAAAGCAACCCTTTGTTTTGTGCAAACGCGAGCTATATTTCAAGTCGTCAAAAACGGTCCACTATTTGCCCAGCTTCCCACTGCTGCACGACACAATCGTTTCCCCTGATGAAAATTCCTGACGTCATTTTGAAGGTACATGGTGAAAATGATGGTGGACCAAATTAAAGGCGAATCTGTAACACGGGCCGAGGAGGCGCTCGCTTCCCAAACGACCTGTGAGCACATTATTGCTGTTGATTATCATATTACGTGACATTTTTTATTGATGGGCTCCCTGTCCGTCCGCGGGCGGGGCCAGAGAAACATTTTTTTCATGTCTTACCTTGAGGACTAAGAGTACAAATTGCATGGGCTTACGGCAAACTTGAACTCCCAAAAACTCTCTCGGAGTAAATAACTTCGGCTGTTTGTAGGGGGCGCAGTTTCTGGCATTTTTTATTATTTCACTTTCTAAGGACCTACACCCTAGAGTTTAACCCTGAAAACAATGTTGTGAGCAAATCGGACTTTGTTTGAGTACAACGGAACGGTTCCTTTTTTCTATAGTCAAAAACTACACAAAAAAACCGCCCTTTTTGGCGCTTCGCTGCTCGTACACCCGTTCCACTGATCAACAAATTCGCTGACAATCTACAATGGATGGTCCACCCCTGTGTTATCGACGCTGTGTGAGCGATTTTAAGGCAAATCGGTGGGCAACGGCCGAGGAGGAGTCGCTTTCTCCAACCAACATGTGTGAAACTGACCTGCTGTAGGGGGCGAGCTAATGCCTGCAGCTTGATGTTTTACACTTTCCGTTTTACCCCAACCCCAAACGTTGAACAACGACTTCAAAAATTGGTGCCACATCGGCCTTTGTCTGTGCAACGGGGACTTTATTGGACTCCAATTGCGCCCCCTACAACCTGCAACTTTGAAGTCTCCTTACTAGGGAAAACCAAATTAATTAACAGCGCAAGCGGCGTCGACCGGCCCTCGCCGCCGCGCGAACTCCCCTGCCACCGCGCGCACTCCCCGCACCAAGCCGCCCTGCACCATGCCGCCCTGTTTTTTTTTTTTTTTTTACCCCTGCCGGTCCCGCCCACGCCGTCCCGCACCACGCCGCCCCGCACCAGCCGCGCCACCGCAGCGCCGCCCACAACGCCCCGCACACGCCGCAGCAGCACGCTACAAGGAGGTGGCACCGCCGTGTGATGATTTGATCCGTCGCCATAGAAGACTGTAGTCAACATTGTAATGCATACTGCTACGGTAGAGCTGGTTTGGCTCACCCATGTACACTTTGACACAGTCTGTAGGGGGCGTCATGGGCCAATTTCCAATATTTCCCTTTAACCTGACCTACCACCCCGGAATTGAACAAGGATTACAGTTTTGTGCAAATCAGGCATGTTTGTTGCAAACAGGAGCAAAATTAATGTTGGTCAAAAACGAGCCAAAAAAACCCTCACATTATTGCCGCTCCGCTGCTCGGAACACCGTTTCACGGCTCAAAATTCCCTGAAGTCATTTTGACGGTACATGTGTTGAGATGATGTGGAGCGATTTTGAGGCGAATCGGTGAAAACGGCCGAGGCTGGTTTGATGTTTGTGTGAGGTGTACATTTGGCAATGAATGGGGAGCGGTTTCTCGTCGCCACGGCAACAGGGTAAAAAATACAGCCTTGGACCCCATTGACTTTTTGAATCAAGAGGGCACAAAGGATTTATGTGCAAAATTTCAAACATTTTTGAAAAAAACTAAATTTGAAAATGCCCATCTAAAACTTTGAACTAGTCTGTAGGGGGCGCTAATGTGTCAATTTGAATTAATTCACCTTCAAACGACCTAGACCCTAGAGTTGAACAATGTTATTAAAGTTTTGTGCAAATCAGACTTTGTTTGTGCCAAACGGGAGCAAATTTAATGTTGTCAAAAACGGCCAAAAAAATGGTCTCATTTTGCCGCTCCGCTGCTCGAAACAATGTTTCACTGATCAAAAATCCCTGAGGTCATTTTGAAGGTACATGTGTTGAGATGATGTGGCGCAATTTTGATGCGAATCGGTGAAACGGCCGAGGAGGAGTCGCTTTCCAACCGACATGTATGAAAACTTTTGCGTTCATTTTTCCATTTTGCAGTGACATTTATGGGCTTCCTGTTTGTCAGAGGGCGGGGCCATAATTCATATTTTTTCTTGTCTTGACTTGAGGAACATGTGTCACCAAATTATTCATGTTATCTATGGACAACTTGCCTCCGAAAAGACCCATAGGGGTTTATTTTGGCTGTAGTAGGTGGCGCTGTTCTGTCATCCCATACAAAATCACCACCAACAATATGAAATTTTTCGCCAGGTCTGATTTTTGGGCCAAAATTAACAACTTATCATGCATGTTCAGGGGGTCAAATTAAGGCTCAACGTGCGCAGAGAAAAAAAGAACGAAAGAAAGAAAGAAAGAAAAGAAAAGTAAATAAATAAATAAAAAGGAATTTTTTTTACGACGTCTCGAGCAAAACAATATAGGTTTCAATGGCACGTGATACATCATTTTAAAGCTTTTGAGTTTACGCACGCAACCGTCACGTTATTGGTGAGTGACGGGCGCTGACGGTCCGTCACGCACCGCCACCATATGTTTTCACCATTGTGAAAGCAATAGGCCTACCCCGTTCGGGCTCGGGGCCTACTACAAGAACAGACCATGTTGGCAAAATTTTGTCAGTTTTCGAGCATGTTCGGTGGGTCAAATATGACCTCACAACAACCGCACAACTTGTTCTATCCAGGTTTTCCTGGGCTAGACACAAGTATAATTACCGCCGCAAGCGGCGTCGAAACGGCCCTCGCCGACCCGCGCACAACTCCCCTGCCACCGCGCGCCCTCCCCGCCCCACGCCGCCCCGCCACCAAGCCGCAACGCAGCCGCTCCACGACGCCCGCCCTACGCCGCACCACACGTACCACGCAGCACCGTAAAAGGAGGTGCACCGCCGTTGTGCAGATTTGTTTCCGTGCATACGAAGAATGTTAGTCAATTGTAAAGAATATGATAAGTAGCGCTGGTTTGGCTCCCCATGTAACACTTTGACTCAGTCAGTAGGGGGCGCTCATGGGGCCGATTTCCAAAATTTCACCTTCACCTGACCTAAACCCTGGAATTGACCAATGGATGCAAGTTTTGTGCAAATCAGACTTTTGTTTGTGCAAACAGGAGCAAAATAAATGTTGTCCAACAAAGCGCCAAAAAACCCTTACATTTGCCGCTCCGCTGCTCAAACAGCGTTACACGGATCAAACTTCCTGAAGTTCATTTTGAAGGTACCTGTGTTGAGCTGAAGTGGAGCGATTTTGAGGCGACTCGGAGAAACCGCCGAGGCTGGTTTGATGAATGTGTGAGGTGTACATATTGCAAAGCAATGGGGAGCGTTTCTCGTCGCCACGGCCCACAGGTACAAAATAAACCTTGGACCAATTGACTTATTGCCACCCGACGGGCACACCAGATTTATGTGCAAAATTTCAAACATTTTGAAAAAACTACCTTTGAAATGCCCATCTAACAACTATGACAATAGTTCTGTGGGGGCGCTAAAGTATGTCACTTTGAATTAATTCCACCTTTCAACCGCCTAGCCCTAGAGTTGAACAATGTCTTCATGTTTTGTGCAAATCAGACTTTGTTGTGCAAACGGGAGCAACATTAATGTATGTCACACACACGGCCAAAAAGGTTCACATTTTGCCGCTCCGCTGCTCAAACACACTGTTTCACTGCTCAAACACTCCACTGAGGTCACTTTGGAAGGTCCCGGTGTTGCGCTGATGTGGAGCGCTTTTGCGGCGCACTCGGTGAAACGGCCGAGGAGGAGTCGCTTTCCCACGGCCCTGTGATGACTACTTTTGCTGTTCATTTTATCCATTGTTGCAGTGAAATTCTATGGGCTTCCTGTTTGCCAGAGGGCGGCGCCAGTACTAATATTTTTTTCTTGTCTTGACTTGCGGCCCATGTGTACGAAATTTCATGCCTCTACACACACAACTTGATCCTCAGAGAACTCCCATAGGGTATTGAAGGAGTGAGCTCCCATAGGGAAGAATGTCTGGAGTGAGAAATAGAGGTCTTGTTAAGATCTCCTTTTTTCGCAGGGAGGGCGGAGTGTAACGCATAAAGGATTTGTAGGGGCAGAGAGATTGTGTCCGGCGAGCTATTACTTATAATTGCAGGACTCCTTTGTTTTGAAGTTTGAGATGAAGGTTGAAAATGGTCAGGGGACATTATGTTGGGTGAAAAAAAGAGGCGACCTGTGGTATGCTTCCACTACGCGAGATTATCTCACGTGACAGAGATCCTCTTTCTCTGCAACGTTTGATTTCCACGGCGCGCAGGCCACGACCACTGGGAATATCTCGTGTAGGGCAGAGGAGATGCTCCGGTGGACGTAGCGGGCCCACGGCCCGGCAACCCAATGGTCCTGGAAGGAATCCCCAAAAACCCCGGAAGGGGCAGCGTCCGGTGTAGAAGCGGAGACTTGAAGGGGCTGAGACATGTCGGATAGGGCCAAATGGATCGCTTGCAGGCGCCCTTACGCTTGAAACCTTGGGTTGGAGATCTAGGAAACTCTGGATAGTCGGAAAAAAGGTCGGGAAGGCCGTGTCTCGGACCGCATGAGGTTGAGAGAGCAATGGTGAAACGCTTACGCAGAGAAGCCATAGAAGGAGAGCAGGAAGATTGCTGCGAGGAGGGCGGACATGTACTTGGGAGATGAGCCGGAGTTCCAGCGCCGCTGCAGGAATGGGCAAGCATGATGGGGAGCCTGCGATCAGAAAGAGTGAAGATTACAGGTATGGATGCCTTTGTTAGGAGTCACGTTGACGGGCTCAGCGCAGCTATCGGCCAGCTGCATTGATAGAATCCGTAGATTCAGTAGGAGAGATGAAAGCATGCTGACCGCCGAAGCGACCCTGGGAGCATGGTACGAGGCCCGCGCAGCGCGGCAAGCCTCAGCCGGAGCCTGCGGTCACTTAGAACGCAGGTTACGCTTCTGAGAGAGTGGGGATGCAGCAAGTAAGCAAGTAGCAGCAGCAACCTCAGATAATAACGGCAATAGTCCATGTATTAAGCCGCGACACGTAGCAGCAGCACGCAGAAGCAGCGTCCTTAGAAAATAACAGTAATCAATCTGTACCTAAGCCACAGCAGTAGATTGTTGTTGTAGCTGTCTCAGTGTTTCAGTAAAAAAGAGATGCAAGTTGGAAGAGAAGATGCGCAAAAGTAAATGAAGCGAGCAGCCGCCAGTAGTAGCAGCAGTAGCCCGTTTGAAGCAGCCGCAGTAGACGTATCAAGCAGCAGGAGCAGTAGGCGGGCAGCAGCAGCTTGCAGCCATCCGTAGATAATAACAGCAATAATCCTGTATCCAAGCCAGAGCAGTAGCATCTTATGTAGCTGTTACGCGTTTCAGTAAAAGCAGATGTGAAGTTGAAGAGAGATGTCAAAGTACATTTGAAGCAGCAGCAGCACGGGTCAGCAGTAGGCAGTATCGAAGCAGCACGCGTGCAGCAGGGTCACGCCAGCAGTAACAGTAGCAGTAGGAAGCCTAGCAGCAGCAGTAGCAGTTATGAAGCAGCAGCAGTAGCAGCAGTATGCAGGCACGCTGCAGCCGGTTTGCAGCACTCGTTGACAATAACACGCAATATCCTGTATCACAAGCCACACGCGCAGTAGAAGATTCTTGAAGACTGTTTAGAGTTTCAGTAAAAGATGCGAAGTGAAGGTGGTGGTCAACAGTAAAGAAGCAGCAGCTAGAACGGCAGCAGTAGCAGTAATGAAAGCCGCCAGCAATAGCAGCCATAGCGGCAGCCAGCTAGCGCTATGACAGCAGCAGAAGCCAGCATTAGCAGGAGCAGTAGCCACCCACAATGTGATTCATCCACGCAAACAACAGACGTGTCAACGCCAGCGTCGCGCGCTTGTCTCCCGTGAGCCAGGTTACCTAGGTCTGGAAAGAGCCCACAGCCGTAGAGACAGGTGCCGCCGGGGAGCCCGCCGGAGCAGCCAGCGGGGGGGGCAGGGAACAGCGCAGCGGCACAACGTCGTAGCCAGGAGCAGCAGGGCGCAGACAGCAGGGACAGGCGGGCAGAGGAGCGGCAGCAGGAAACAGGCAGCCAGCGGAACAGGCATCAGCGGGATCAGGCTCATAGGAACGGCAGGCAGGGACCGCAGCCAGCGGCGGTCAGAGAACCATGGGCCCAGGTTGTTTAAGAGCATGAGGAAATGCGTTTCATAGCTCCAACTCCCACTTCAAACCCATTGCAGATTCACTTTGGGCCCCTTTTCTTTCTGCTGCACTTTCAAATGCAACATCGGCAGTTTGTTACCCCAATTTAAATACTAGTCGACCTAGCTATTTAAATGCATGGCCCCTCCTTCCTCCTGCAGATAGGACGAATTTAAATACCATTCATTTAACACATAGTGAACCTGCGGGTGTAATGAGATTAATGCTGTAATAAAATGGCGCGTGGCAAGAGTTCTGGTGTGTGGCCGGGTTGGAGACACGTCCTGGGAGCGTCTTTGCACATTTTTTCCACGTGGTTTTACTGCAAGTGGAGAACATGAATCTGAATTGATGCACATTGCTCCTCTTATCATCCCTCAGGACATTGGGATTGATGCCACGAGACAGAGACAGTAGAAGAATACAGATACAGTAGAAGAATACAGAGACAGTAGAAGAATACAGAGAGAGTAGAAGAATACAGAGAACAGTAGAAGAATACAGAGACAGTAGAAGAATACAGAGAGAGTAGAAGAATACAGAGACAGTGGGAGAATACAGAGACAGTAGAAGAATACAGAGACAGTAGAAAAATACAGAGACAGTGGGAGAATACAGAGACAGTAGAAGAATACAGAGACAGTAGAAGAATACAGAGAGAGTAGAAGAATACAGAGACAGTGGGAGAATACAGAGACAGTAGAAGAATACAGAGACAGTGGGAGAATACAGAGACAGTAGAAGAATACAGAGACAGTAGAAGAATACAGAGACAATAGAAGAATACAGAGACAGTAGAAGAATACAGAGACAGTAGAAAAATACAGAGACAGTGGGAGAATACAGAGACAGTAGAAGAATACAGAGACAGTAGAAGAATACAGAGACAGTAGAAGAATACAGAGACAGTGGGAGAATACAGAGACAGTAGAAGAATACAGAGACAGTAGAAGAATACAGAGACAGTAGAAGAATACAGAGACAGTAGAAGAATACAGAGACAGTAGAAGAATACAGAGACAGTAGAAGAATACAGAGACAGTAGAAGAATACAGAGACAGTAGAAGAATACAGAGACAGTAGAAGAATACAGAGACAGTAGAAGAATACAGAGACAGTAGAAGAATACAGAGACAGTAGAATAATACAGAGACAGTAGAAGAATACAGAGACAGTAGAAGAATACAGAGACAGTAGAAGAATACAGATACAGTAGAAGAATACAGAGACAGTAGAAGAATACAGAGAGAGTAGAAGAATACAGAGAGAGTAGAAGAATACAGAGACAGTAGAAGAATACAGAGACAGTAGAAGAATACAGAGACAGTAGAAGAATACAGAGACAGTAGAAGAATACAGAGACAGTAGAAGAATACAGAGACAGTAGAAGAATACAGAGAGAGTAGAAGAATACAGAGAGAGTAGAAGAATACAGAGACAGTAGAAGAATACAGAGACAGTAGAAGAATACAGAGACAGTAGAAGAATACAGAGACAGTAGAAGAATACAGAGACAGTAGAAGAATACAGAGACAGTAGAAGAATACAGAGACAGTAGAAGAATACAGAGACAGTGGGAGAATACAGAGACAGTAGAAGAATACAGAGACAGTGGGAGAATACAGAGACAGTAGGAGAATACAGAGACAGTAGAAGAATACAGAGACAGTGGGAGAATACAGAGACAGTAGAAGAATACAGAGACAGTAGAAGAATACAGAGACAGTGGGAGAATACAGAGACAGTAGGAGAATACAGAGACAGTAGAAGAATACAGAGACAGTAGACGAATACAGAGACAGTAGAAGAATACAGAGACAGTAGAAGAATACAGAGACAGTAGAGGAATACAGAGACAGTAGAAGAATACAGAGACAGTAGAAGAATACAGAGACAGTAGAAGAATACAGAGACAGTAGAAGAATACAGAGACAGTAGGAGAATACAGAGACAGTAGAAGAATACAGAGACAGTGGGAGAATACAGAGACAGTAGAAGAATACAGAGACAGTAGAAGAATACAGAGACAGTGGGAGAATACAGAGACAGTAGGAGAATACAGAGACAGTAGAAGAATACAGAGACAGTAGAAGAATACAGAGACAGTAGAAGAATACAGAGACAGTAGAAGAATACAGAGACAGTAGAAGAATACAGAGACAGTAGAAGAATACAGAGACAGTGGGAGAATACAGAGACAGTAGAAGAATACAGAGACAGTAGAAGAATACAGAGACAGTGGGAGAATACAGAGACAGTAGGAGAATACAGAGACAGTAGAAGAATACAGAGACAGTGTGGGAAAAGCCTTGGGAAGAAACTGCAGGTGGAGACCCAAAATGGCCGACATAGATGGACAGTGATCGTCTCTCGTGGACACAGCGTGAAGCCGTCGTGGCTCGAGGGTGTTTCTGCTTCTGCTTTGACCTTCAGAGTTTCCTTGAATTCGAATACAGAGAATTTTAATATTTGTACAAAGCAGAAACCTGTTTATAACAATATTTTTTTTACACATTTATTCATTGATGTTGAATGGAAACAGACTGGATCAGCAGCATGTTCGTTTCTCTTTCTCTCACAGACTAACAGCTGCTACTGTGGAGGGGATCCAGGTAATCATTTATTCAGTATAATTACACTCTCTGCTCGCTCTCTCTTTCTCTGCTCTCTCTGCTCTCTCTGCTCTTTTTGCTCTCTCTCTTTGCTCTCTCTCTGCTCTCTCTGCTCTCTCTACTCCCTCTGCTCTCTCTTTCTTTGCTCTCTCTGCGCTCTCTCTTTCTCTCTGCTCTCTTTGCTCTCTCCCTCTTTCTCTGCTCTCTTTGCTCTCTCTCTGCTCTCTTTGCTCTCTCTCTGCTCTCTCTCTCTGCTCTCTCCCTCTCTCTCCCTCTCTCTCTGCTCTCTCTCTCTGCTCTCTCCCTCTCACTCTGCTCTCTCTTTCTTTGCTCTCTCTGCTCTCTCGGCTCTCTTTGCTCTCTCTCTGCTCTCTCCCTCTCACTCTGATTCTCTCTTTCTTTGCTCTCGCTGCTCTCTCTCTCTCTCTCTGCTCTCTTTGCTCTCTCTGCTCTCTCTCTCTCTCTGCTCTCTTTGCTCTCTCTGCTCTCTTTGCTCTCTCTGCTCTCTTTACTCTCTTTGCTCTCTCTCTGCTCTCTTTGCTCTCTCTGCTCTCTTTGCTCTCTCTCTGCTCTCTTTGCTCTCTCTGCTCCCAGTCCATGTAATTTCCAGCGCATCATATTTTGATACTGAACAGAGTCAATTTTTTTTTAATTGAAAGTTTGTAACACAGCAGCCGTCAGATCTCCCATTAGTAAAACCACACTCTTCAAAGGTATTAAGGAGGATGTTCTATTTCTTGGTGGATCATCAAGACTATTGGTCCCTCCCGATTACTCTGGTGATACGTGCTCGTCAACTAAGTCTTTCTGCAAGAGTCTGCATCAGAGACCCTCCCGTCGACTCCGATCTGCAGACTCACATGTCCTCACTCCCGCTGTCAAATCCAAGAACCGAACCTTGTGGGACCGAGCTTTCGCCATCTCTGCTCCCACTCTCTGAAACTCTCTCCCCCTTCATCTCAGAAACTCGGACTCACTACACCTCTTCCTCCAAGCATACGACTCTTAGTTTCAGCTTTGTACTCTTCTTTCCTGCTTTAGGTTTTGTAGTTGTGTGTGTCTGTCTGAATGTGTGCATGTGTGTCTTTCTGAATGTGTGCATGTGTGTCTGTCTGAATGTGTAGGTGTGTGTCTGTCTGAATGTGTGCATGTGTGTCTGTCTGAATGTGTGCATGTGTGTCTGTCTGAATGTGTGCATGTGTGTCTGTCTGAATGTGTGCATGTGTGTCTGTCTGAATGTGTGCATGTGTGTCTGTCTGAATGTGTAGGTGAGTGTCTGTCTGAATGTGTGCATGTGTGTCTGTCTGAATGTGTAGGTGTGTGTCTGTCTGAATGTGTGCATGTGTGTCTGTCTGAATGTGTGCATGTGTGTCTGTCTGAATGTGTGCATGTGTGTCTGTCTGAATGTGTATGTGTGTGTCTGTCTGAATGTGTCCATGTGTGTCTGTCTGAATGTGTATGTGTGTGTCTGTCTGAATGTGTCCATGTGTGTCTGTCTGAATGTGTATGTGTGTGTGTCCTGAATTGTGAAGCGTCTTTGAGTTTTCTAAAAGCACTATATGAAACCGATGTATTATTATTATTATTATTATTATTAACATTTTGGAAAATCCTCCCATATACTAGCCTGGCTTTATCCATCCGTACACTTCGCTCTATCAACATTTCACTGCATGTAACGTCTGGGTCTGGTCCCTGTGGTTGCAAATACATCGGTTGAATTCCATCCGACCAATCAGAGCGCGAGAGGCGGGTGTTGTAGTAAGTCGTGGGTGACGGCAAGAGTTTGCGCCGAACGGGCAGGTTGTAGTCTGGCAATGGCGAAGAATGCGATAATCCGGTCTGGTTCTATCAACGAATTGAAGCCGGAGCAAGGAATGTTTAGCAAATTGCTGGCAAAGATTGTGGCGCTACTCCCCACGGGCTCCGTTAGCGGCAAAGGAGATGGGTAGGCTAAATGCTATATGCTAACGACTCACTCTGGCACATTACATACGTGACGGTAAACTCACAATCTTTTCAGTCTGCAAAAGGATTGTTAACGGAGCTCAATGGAGCGCCTCCAGACTTCAGTGTGAAATGTAATTTGTACTATGGTGTGGTACGACCAGGCTACCTACTGTATATTCCTGTTATATAAAATGTATGCATCGTGTTTTAGACTTGAGTCTGTGAGCAGCTGTGACAGAGGAAAGATAAAACACGGGACAAAGATCAAGCTGGATTCCTGACGTCAATTGTTTTTAAAGACCCCTTGAAACCAGAATGAAACCTCTGACCTCTGACCCTGTCTTTTCTCCACAGGATCATGACCCAGAGACCGGTGACATCACAGACTCTCCGTCCTGGACCATGGACTTCAGTCGGATCCTCACAGACTTTTTGACATCATCACCTCACACACACATGTATATAAAAACATGAGGAAGTGAAACAGGGACGTCGAGTCGGCCATCTTGGTGTTGGACACTTCCCATTGACTCACTGCAATAAGATAGAGAAAAAAAAAGATTAAAATGGAAGAATATTATTTTCCAATCAGGGATCAACAGTGAATGTGTAGATGACAGTGGAATGGCAGACGGCCTCTTGTAGTTTTTATAAATGAACTTTTATTGTACATAAGTCGCTTCATATACAAGTCTATCCTAGTGTAGATTGCACAACAGCCAAAAGAATAGTCTTTGGTCTTTTATGATCAAAAAAGGAAAATATTTGAATATTTTTAAACCAGTTCAGGAAGGTCCATCTCTTAATATATTCTTCTTGATATATTAATATGTTGTTTTGTCTCTTCTATGCCAGACAAGAGTAAAAGTTCTCAAACCAAGCTCCATTTAAAAGTCTGTATGGGTTTTAAAGTTACAAACGCTCATATGGTTGCACTGGGTGGTGATTGGTCGCTGATAGTCCATTTAGAGAATCACAGTGTGGACTTTTTGTTGATATATTTGGTTGTTTTGAGTTATGCTTCCTGTTTGTCTGTTGATTGGTTGCCCCACCCTCACTGCAAAACAGAGAGGACTAGGAGGACACATAACAGCTGTCCTGGGACTACAGATGGAAAATCGCCCTTTGACTAATTCTGGCATATTTACATGTATAATGTATATATGCACTGTCCCTTTAATAACGTAGTAAATAAAACAATAATAAATGATTAAATATGAGGTAATAAGTGCTTGAATCAAGTGGTTAAGTTTTTATCTTAAAGGTATCTAAGAGGATTTTTACACATTTTAGGAAAGAACCGTCCTCTCCACTTTTTGAAAAAAGCTCTCTGGGCTTATTTGACGAGCACATATCACCAGAATGATTGACAATGGGGTGGACCAATAGTGTTGATGATCCACCCGGAAGTAGAAAATCCTCCTATACCTTTAATTTCAGCACATTCTGTTTTCAAACAAGATTCACCAATGCAACAAGGCCTTTTAGTCTTAATTGAAGAATTGTTGCTTCATTTTCTCATTACAAGGGAGACATTTCTTGTTTCCTTTTAAAACAAGATCATTTGCTTTGGCCCTTTGGTAAATCTTGTTTTTAGACTCAAATTAAGATACATTTTTTGACGTCTTGTTTCTGTTTATTTTGGAATTGTGCGTACCTGTTATGAACAAGGATCTGGTTTTACTTCATTAAATTACACTTTTATTTGCAGTCCTGCATTTTGGTCCCTTCTTTGGTTTTCCATCTTGTGACAGACAGGACAGACACCAAGAGGAGAGGAGCACAGGGTCTTAACCAATAGGGGCGGGTCCCGGCTTAAAAAGGTCCATAAGCATGTGCAATACCACTTGATATTGGAATGTAACTTAAGTTATCATTTTGGTAAATCATATGTGGCTATGTGCTGAATGCTCTGTATTGTAATTCACTTTAGCTTCAGGAAGACACCGGGAGGTCTGGGGAGCTCATATGCTAAGTGTATTTTGTTGTGTTGGTTTCTTCCTTTCCCATCTGCATACGAAGGTGTGTCTTGCTCTACCAAAAGGGGCTTGCAGACTGTGAATCTTCAGACTTGTCCTGAGAGAGGCTAGGGTCTGTGCCCTGACTCTGTCAGGACATTCTCCTTGTACAATGTAACAAGTAAAAGATTAACTTTGTCTCTTTGTTGTGTGAGATTTCATCAGGTTCAACTGTAGCTGAAACAGCATTATCACTTGGTCCTTCGAGCCGGATCCCAACACTTCTTACAGGAGCTGAGCTTGTCTCAAACATGGACTTCCAGGAGCAACAACAAGGCCTTCTGCATTTGGAAATGCATTGGAACTCCAGGTTTGAGGCAGGACAGCCCTGGGTTGGAGTCGACGGGAGAACTACAGTTTTTTCCTGATGAAATCGCAACAAAGGCAAGTTCTGTACACTCTATATTATGTCCAAAAGTAATCCAGGAAGTAGTGTGAAGTTCACATGAACACATTCATTTAGGAAAACGCAGAGTTATGCCTTTAGTCAAGGACTTTTACAGAGCTCGAATGAACGGGATTTCATCCAAAAGGGTAACGCAGAGTTACGCCTGTATAATGAATGTGTTAGAATTGAATTACTTCGGACTGAACTTCTACATTACTTCTAAACTGAAATTGGACATTTATAGACATCTAAATAAGCTACATTGAAATACCTTTAAATTACTCAAAATTTGGAATTGGACATTGTAAAAAGACCTAAAAAATAGTTAAATTGCAAGCATTGTGTAGGGCGGCCATTTTGTGGCCATGTGGTCCTTTGTCCTCTGTCCATGTGTTTTCTTTGTTTGTCTTCGTCCTTCTTTGTCTCGTGTGTTCTTCCTTTGTCCATGTGTTTTATGTGTTTAAGTGTTTGTCTGTTTAAGCTCAAACTAAACTGACAAAACAAACTCACTAACTAGAACAAAATTTAGAGAGAGAGAGAGATAGGAGTTAGTTTTTCAGCTGGGGAAGAGAAAGTTGAATAAGAGGGAAAAAATACATTGGGAAGAGATTTTACAAGAACGAGTTGAGTATGTGTGAAGAAAGTCTAAAAAAATTAGCAAGAATTATAGAAAAGTTTGACACCAGGTTTAGAATACTTGTTTTAAAAGTCATTGTGAAACTTTGAAACTGTTTCTTGGTTTAGAATTACCCTTCACCTAATGTTTGGATCTTGAAATGTATTAACAAATGTCCTTTTTGTTTTTGAGAAAAATGACTGCCAGAACTTTGAAACAGCATGAAATTCAATTTCTTGTGGAGCAGACGTCCACCCCAAAGCTCCATCCCACCCCCATCGCCATCTCCCCCCCCGGAAGCTGCTGACGAATAATCACGGGCCAATTTGCAAAGATCAAAGCGCGCAGGTCCACGGAGGGCGCTGGCCGTTTGTTCAAGTTAAATGGACGTGAGAATTGAAGGTGACATCTTGGTACATTTGCGACTTGAAAGTTCAGCTTTGTGTCGCTGTTGGAGAACGGCTGCTAGTCTTGCGTCGGAAACGCAGACAGAGAAGAGTTTCGAAACAGGAACAGAGTGCACATTTCAGGTCATAACCAAACATGAGGAGGGGTCGAGAGGAAGTGTCAAATGGACTGACTATGGACTGTGAAAATGGACTTTGGCTTTTCGGGCTTTTGGGCGTGTGCGTGGTGTTGAATTTGATAACCAAAGTGAATACATTTCAAGTTAATACATTGTTCAGTTTTGAGCCATGTATGTTTCAATAGGGGGAATAGTTTATGGAACAACAATATTAAATTATACTATGAACATTTTTTTCTTTTTCAGTTTGGATGTGTGTTTTTTCATTTTCAGTTCTCCATGTTCTCCATGTTTAAACATAGATTGTTTGATTTATCAAAAGGATAAAAAGGAGGGAATGATAGTGGAATGTAACTTAAGTTATCATTTTGGTAAATCATATGTGGCTCTGTGCTGAATTCTCTGTATTGTAATTCACTTTAGCTTCAGCAAAACTCCGGGAGGTCTGGGGAGCTCATATGTTAAACAGCAGAGGAAGCAGTCTTTGTATACGCTAATTCGGAGTGTATTTTGTTGTGTTGGTTTCTTCCTTTCCCATCTGCATACGAAGGTGTGTCTTGCTCTACCAAAAGGGGCTTGCAGACTGTGAATCTTCAGACTTGTCCTGAGAGAGGCTAGGGTCTGTGCCTTGCCTCTGTCAAGACTTTCTCCTTGTACAATGTAACAAGTAAAAGATTAACTTTGTCTCTTTGTTGTGTGAGATTTCATCAGGTTCAACTGTGGTTGAAACAGCATTATCACCACTCCAGGCCAGTGGGGGAGTACCCGGAAAGAGAATTATTCAATGCTTTTGTATGGCGTCTTCTTACCTCTCGAAAACGTTTTTACAGGATGGTCCAAAAGTCGCTCTCGGCCCAAAGCTCTGTTCACAAAGCCAATGTGTGTCAATGATGAGAGGAGTGAATTTTGTTGGACCAGTCTAGTTTAGCCGTTGTGGACTTTTGAACTAACAAATGCGCAAATGCATTTTTCACATTTTCCTGCCCGTGGCCATTTTAAAACTGCCCACAGAAGGCAAAAGTGACGGCACAATAGTTTCAGCGCCGGAGATAAGCGTCACTATGTCCGTTAATATTTACAGTCTTTGGTCTAAATACACACAGACACAGGGTCTAAATACACACAGGGTCTAGATACACACAGACACAGGGTCTAAATACACACAGACACAGGGTCTAATTACACACAGACACACAGGGTCTAAATACACACAGACACAGGGTCTATTTACACACAGGGTCTAAATACACACAGGGTCTAAATACACACAGAGACACAGGGTCTAAATACACACAGAGAGACACAGGGTCTAAATACACACAGAGACACAGGGTCTAAATACACACACAGAGACACAGGGTCTAAATACACACACAGACACAGGGTCTAAATACACACAAGGTCTAAATACACACAGACACAGGGTCTATTTACACACAGGGTCTAAATACACACACAGACACAGGGTCTAAATACACAGAGACACAGGGTCTAAATACACACAGACACAGGGTCTAAATACACAGAGACACAGGGTCTAAATACACAGAGACACAGGGTCTAAATACACACACAGACACAGGGTCTAAATACACACACAGACACAGGGTCTAAATACACACACAGACACAGGTGCAACACATCAGGGCAACCAGTCAACGGACAGAAAGAAACTAAAAGTCACAACAACAAGAGAATGAATAATTAAATGAAATGATCTAGAAGACCGTCTTTTCTGACCTTGTACAGTGAAGCTCTCTGTTTTTTACAAACTTATAAAAAACTAATTATTTATGGGTGACTTTTTTGTCTTGTAGAACGGAGTGAGAGTGATTGCCTCATTCATAACAATCTTTTCCAATGGATTCAGATTGTCTACAAAGTCAGTCCAGCAGGCTGACTTTACAGATCTTTTTACAGGACAAC